CATACATACATACATACATACATACATATATACATATACATATATATATATATACACACACATACATACATACATATATACATACATACATACATACATACATACATATATACATATACATATACATATACATATACATACATACATACATACATACATACATACATACATACATACATACATATTCACCAAGGGTCGGACACCACTACGTAGATAACACCACCACCATCATCATCTAGAATTAAATATTACCTAATAATTACTGTTTGGGCTTTCTCGAAGTCCTATCGTTTTGGAGCTCACTGACCATGAGAAATCTCTGCAAATATAAGCAATGGAAAAACTGGACATGCAGTTGCGATCTTTAGCCCTGAGCTTAGAGGATGGTACGATCAATAAGTGTGTGGAAAGCTGATTGCTCAGCATTAAAGCAAGGCCTAGAAAAGTTGATAATCAGTAAAGCACATGGAATGCATCATATGTGTTTCTTTCTTTTTTTTTTAAACTCATGCTTCCCTTCAACTTCAGTCGTTGAAGCAGTTTAGTTTCCAGGTTATTCTTAGGGTCTATTACAACATTCTAGCATGTTTTGGTCTACAGTTTTGGATTTTTATCTGATCTTTATTACATTATCACTAACTTAAGGTTGCAAAAATATCCAGCACACCTTCTCTTGTGTTCCCCACAAGGACCAGCCTGTGAAGTGAGCTGGGCTGGGGGAGGGACTGTGCAAAGTTACCCAACCAACTTTCATGTCCAAGCAAGGACTAGAACTCAAGTCTCCTGATTTCTAGGCCAGCACCTTAATCACCACATCAATCATCATTTATATGAAGACCTACTTTTTTTGCCATTTAAATTTTTTTTTCTATTCTCTTACATACCATTTTAAGTATACATTCACATAATTGTTATTCTTCTTTACATTTGTCATTCTTATACATTTGTTGTTTAATAGGTTATAATATACAGTTTGGGTTGCTTTCTTTACCATTCCTTCTGCCAGTTGTAACACTGCATTATTTTCCCTTTCTTTTCTCCCTCCCTCCCTTTTCTATCTCCTTCCTTCTTCCTCTCCTTCCCCTTTCTTTTCCCCTTACCTCTCCCTTACTCCTACTCTTCCTCTTCCCCTTCCTACTTTCTCTCCTTCTCCTTCATTCCCTTCCACCCTCCTCTCCTTACCGCTTTCTTCTCCCCCCCCCCATTTCCTCTCATTTTCTCCTCCTCTCTCCCTTTCCTTTTCTGTTGTTATAGGTGTCTCTTTCAAATCTCAGTTTGTTTTCTTAGGATGGTATTTTTGCAAACCCAAATATAATTTAGTATCATTTCTTATGCAGAATTACTGAGGCCAGGAATAAAGGAGTTTTCAAATTTCTATGGGGGGAAGGCCAAGAGATTGCTTACCTCTGAACTGAACTGAAATCCATCCTCAGAAGATGCTGATCAGTATTCTGGTACCATACTTCCAGACACTGGATGACATTCCATTTATCATTACCAAATTTCTTACAAACACACTTTAAAGCATAGGTGTCCAACCTTGGAAGCTTTAAGCTTCAACTTCCATGCTGGCTGGGAACTTCTGGGAGTTGAAGTCCACATACCTTAAAGTTTTCCCAGGTTGGATACCCCTGCTTTCAAGGTTTAAGCAATGGTGATGGCGAAATAAGATTTCTTTATGGCCATCACTGTGGCAGACTAATTTTGAAAATGGATTATTGTATACATTTGCGTTTGTTCTAAGTCTTCTACTGTTTATGCTGCCCTTCTCCAGGGCAGGCATAGAAACCCAGCAATTTGGATGAAGAGATATATTTGTGCTTTACAAAACATGATGCATTTACCTGCGTGAAATCCTTGGTCACAATAAACCTTTATTTGATTCAGAAAAAGCTGTCCGAACATGATGCATTTATTTGCAAGCCAATTTAGCTAAACCTGACGTGGCTAAACCACGCTGAGTCTCTAATTATCTGCTTTCTTCTTATTCTAGGTACACAAAACTGGGCTACGCTGGAAATACTGAACCACAATTTATTATCCCATCATGTAAGTAGAGGGTGTTTTCATAATACGTGCTCATCAGTGGAGAGAGACAGGCATTTGGCTTCTCTACTGTTTAGTGAGTTTTTCTTGGGGGTTGAGGGTGGGATGTGTGGGCTCTTTCTTCTGTGAAGTAGTATTTACTACATTAGTGTCCTTGGCTAGTATGTAGATGGAGAGACAAAGGTCTCCTTGCCAAGACTGGCCCTCATTAAGCCACTTTCCGGTTGCTATGGCAAATCCTCTTTCCTTCCTATCTCTATTATGTGCACTGCCACAGATCTGCCTTGACGAACAAGTGACTTCCTTCTGACACCATGGATACAGCTTTTCACTTGGGGTACCCTTTGAGCAGCTTGTATTCTGAATTGAAGATGCCATCTGCATGTGGGACTAAGCACCTCTCTAACGGCAAATATTTACCGTATTTTTCGGAGTATAAGATGCGCTGGAGTATAAGATGCACCAAGGTTTTGAAGAGGCAAATTAAAAAAAAAAAGTTTTTGCATTCTGCAGTCCTCCCAAAAACGGCCCCGTTTTTCGCGAAAACGGCCTTTTTTTTTTAAAGGCATGAATAGCCTTTAGGAGGCTTGTAGAGTGCTCCTGGGGTGACCCCCCCCTCCAAGAGCAAACGGCCCGTTTTCTGTCAAAAAAATTGCATGCATAGCCTTTAGGAGGCTTAGAATGCTCCTGGGGGCTAGGAGAGGGGGGGAAAATTGAGCAAAAAACGGCCTGTTTTTCACTCATTTCTGCCCTTCCCAGTCCCCAGGAGCACTCTGAAAGCCTCCTACAGACTCTGCACAGCAATTTGGTGAAGGGGGCGGGGTTTCAGGAGGCCAAAAATGCTGCATTCGGTGTATAAGACGCACCCAGATTTTCAGCCTCTTTTTTGAGGGAAAAAGGTGCGTCTTGTACTCCGAAAAATGCAGTAATTGTTCTCCCAAAGCGAGCGCACCAAACGTGTATTTGCTTTCCAACTCTTTCACATTTAGGCATTGCAATAAGAGAATCGGCCAAAGTAGGTGACCAGGCGCAGAGGAGACTGGTCCAAGGCGTGGATGATCTAGACTTTTTCATTGGAGATGAAGCTCTCGTCAAACCCACCTATGCTACAAAGGTAAAGTTGGAGCGAATAATGGGAGTGTCGGGCACAAAGAATCGGGACCATACATCGACTTTCGCTTCGGAAGATGTATTGCTCAAAACTATACACAAGAATCTCGCCAATTAAAGTTCAGTACTAAATTGTCAGCAGTTAAGAGTCCACAGAATTCAAGAAGGGTTGGACTTAAGACTGTTTCCGGGAATGTAATGGCTCTAAGCCAGTGTTTCTGGGAGTTGAAGTCCACAGGACTTAAAGTCGCCAAGGTTGAGAAACACTGCTCTAAGCTAATTCAAGGGTGAAATCCTCCCGCTTTGGCTGAACCGGTAAGGATGATTGTCGTTGGTTCTGCGAACCGATAGTTAAAAAAAAAATCTTCCAAGGATTGCACAGCTCAGGTTTGGGCCTTCCCAATCGTGGGAAGCTTTCCCTCCGCTTTTTAAAGCATTTTTTTTCCTGCCAGTTCGGGCGAATAGGCAGGGAAAAAATGCTTTAAAAAGGCAAAGAATAGAGCTTCCAAAAATCACGCAGCTCACAGTTGATCCACGTGATCATTGGAAGCTTCCCCTCCCCTTTTTAAAGCATTTTTTCCCTGCCTATTCATCCAAACTGGCAGGAAAAAAAGTGCTTTAAAAAGTGTGTGTGTGTGTGTGTGTGTGGGAGGGAAATGGCCACGCCCACCCAGTCACATGACATCCCCCCCACGCCCCACACTACTGATGGGTAAAAAAATTAAATTTCACCACTGGCTTAACTCCACACACCCCTCCACGCCACTTCTGTCTGCTTTTCTCATATATTGAGCTCTCAAAGGATTGGATCAGCAGGCGGTTTCTTTTCATCCACAGAAAGGATTCAAATAAATCAATATGGCAGACGTCCCGCGCGTGATTGTAGCCCTGTTCCTTTTTGCAGGAAGTCCACGACTTATAACCAGTCAGTGACCATTTGACTTGCCTGAAAAAAGGGTACTTGCAACCTGGATTTGAAGTGCCAATGTACAATCCCCTTCCCAGGATCATGTAACTGCATTTTTGGGATACTTATCAGCCTGCCTGCACTTAGGGCTGATTGCAGAGTTACATAGTCTCATGACCTCAATTTATGACACTTTTGCCAGTTAAAAAAAAATAAAAATCATAGCAAAAAATGGGTTCACTTAACGACTGCAGTGTTTTTTTACAACCTCTGTTACTCTCTTAATGACCCACTGTAAAAAGGATTGTAAAATTGGGTCTGGTCACATGATGACCTGCTTAACGAGGTTCCACCACAAAACCGTGGATCACAAAATCACGCTCGACGAAAGTGCGTATGTGACATCATCACAGTGCGACGAAAACATCGCGCTGTGATTGATAAATGTAAAAATAAAGCGAAAACCTTACCCTAACCCCCCCAAACCTAACCCTAAACCTAACCCTTAACCTAACTCTAAATCTAACCCTAAACCTAACCCTTACCCTTAACCTAAACCTAACCCTAACCCTTAACCTAACCCTTACCTTTATGTGAATCGGCTTGCTTTAATTTTATTTTTATTTCAATTTTTAATTTTTTTCGTCGCGCTGTGATGACGTCAAATGCGTGCTTTCGGCGAGCGCGCTTTTGTGGACCGCGGTTTTGACGGGTCACGGCTTAACGATTGTCAGACTTAGGACTGAATCGCAGGCTTAATTACAGTTGTAAGGTAGTACCTGCAAGTAAGCCCTCCAAATCATATTGAAGTGCCCTCTATGTTGATTGTTTCGGTCTTCCTCTGCATATGTTCCTTTTACCCCTAAAGTCTTTGGCACATTCTGGGTCCTTAATCTTTCTATGCCACAGAACCCTTTTAGACTGTTGAAAGCTACATATTGCTTCTCAGAAAAGTGTATTTCAAGGCTTGCCATAAAATATATAGATGTAGATTACATTAGAGAGGAAAGCATTGATGCTCAAATACAATTATCCAAATATTGAAGAATAATTCAGCTCATTTTAGAGAGTAATATCGATGTTAACAAACTTTTTTGTTTTTTAAAAAAGTTTTTTATTAGATAAACATTAAAAACATTGGACATAGTACGACATTTCTGGCCTAAACATTTCCATATAGTGATTAGATCGTACAACAATTACATTTATATCCATTCCATAGGTGTATGTAGTCAGTCAGATTACCTGTCTGTTCATCCTTTCTTTTATATAATTACTAATCATACAAATACATATCCAATTTCTACATATCACACATTCTTAATACCCGTATTTTCCAATTCTTAACTTGTCTGTATGTTTTTCTGTCTCGGCCTTTTTCCCTCATTTCTAACCATCCGTACCATTTGTCCCAGATTTCGTGATATTCCGTCTCATTCTGTCCATCTCTGCACACGTCAGTATCTTATTTATTATTTCTTGTTCCTAGGGAATCTCCTTATTTTTCCATTTCTGTGCAAAAACCAGTCTTGCCGCCGATAAAATAATGCAGCATTAAATATAGTCAAACCTTTTTGGAGTCCATAGGCTGTCAGTTGACTTTGTTATCTAGTTTCATTATTGGATGGAAAGTTGGAGGGTGTTGAAAATAAAGTTATTATTTATTTTCCATGTGAGTTCATAGACTGCTAAAATCTCAGGTGAAAACCCGCTGCTTTAAACTTAACTAAACAACTCTAGAATTCCCACTCAGCCTGGTCATCAGGGAGTTGAAGTCCCAACCAATTTTGAAGTCAATTTTTCCTTCCGAGTAAGAATTATTACATCTAGTTGATCCCAATTCCCTGAACCTTTTCCTTCGTTCTCCTCTTCTGAAGTCTAATGTAGGCCCTTCTACTTTGCTACTGCATTTTTGTATCTGTGCTGATTATCAGTCATCTAGGTCATAATTGCCTCAAAGGTGCTTTTTTGCTTTTTCAAAAGGCAACAATTTTTTCCTTGATGAAGCCATTTTGCTTCTCATCCAAGAAGTTTCTGACAGAACTGAAGAACTGAACAAGCATCTTGGGTGAGAAGTGAAACATTTTCCTTAAGGGAAAAAACAAAAAACAAATTCCAGGTTCCTTTTAAAATAGCACCTTTGAGAATAGTGCATTTTGTTATCTCTTGCTTTCTCTAAAGCAGAGGTCTTCAAACTTGGCAGCTTTAAGACTTGTGGACTTCAACTCCCAGAATACTCCAGCCAGCATAGCTGGCTGGAGAATTCTGGGAGTTGAAATCCACAAGTCTTAAAGTTGTCAAGTTTGAAGACCTCTGCTCTAAAGCTTACAAAAAGATGCATTTATTGAAAGGAAGATCCAGCAGGAGAGACCTTTGAGGAAACCAAAGTAAGAACAAATTTGGCAGACAGTTGAGTTAGAAATTTACAAAACTATTGGAAGTTACCAGAGCGCTGAAAAAATGGACCAATCACCTTTTTTGACGCTTATGACCATTGCAGCATCCTCATGGTCATGTGATCAAAATTTGAGCGCTTAGTAATTGGAACTTACTTATGATGGTTGCACTGTTCCAGGGTCATGTGACCACCATTTATAACTTTCCCAGATGGCTTCTGATAAGCAAAGCCAATGGGAGAAGCAGGATTCGCTTAAGGACCACACGATTCATTAAGAACTGCAGTAATGGGCAAAAAGGCTGTAAAATGGGATTTAAAATGGAGATTAATTGTACTGTCAGGAAATTTCTCCTCAGTTCTAGGTTTCTTCTCTCCTTGATTAGTTTCCACCCATTGCTTCTTGTTCTGCCCTCAGGTGCCTTGGAGAATAGTTTGACTCCCTCTTCTTTGTGGCAACCCCTGAGATATTGGAACACTGCTGTCATGTCTCCCCTAGTCCTTCTTTTCATCAAACTAGTCATAAAATGAAGCAGACACACTTAGCAACAGAATTTTTGGGTTCACTTGTGGTCGTAAGTCATCCATACTCCAAAGGGTCACCTTGACAATTTCTTGAGAGGCCCCTATATCTTATTTGGTTTGATCTGGTGCCTTTTATCTGAGCAGATGGCTCCCTATCTAACTTGTATGTAGGCACCTGTCCTTAGAATATAGAATTGCAGAGTTGGAAGGGACCTTGGAGGTCTTCTAGTCCAACCCTCTGCTTAGACAGGAAACCCTGCACCACTTCAGACAAATGGTTGTCCAATCTCTTCTTTAAAACTTCCAGTGTTGGAGCATTCACAACTTCTGGAGGCAAGTTCTTCCACTGATTTATTGTTCTCACTGTCAGGAAATTCCTCCTTAGTTCTAAGTTGCTTCTCTCCTTGATTAGTTTCCACCCATTGATTCTTGTTCTGCCCTTAGGTGCTTTGAAGAATAGCTTGACTCCCTCTTCTTTGGGGCAGCCCCAGAGATATTGGAAGACTGCTATCATGTCTCCCCTAGTCCTTCTTTTCATCAAACTAGACATACCCAGTTCCTGCAACCGTTCTTCATATGTTTTAGTCTCCAGTCCCCTAACCAACTTATTGCTCTTCTCTGCACTCTTTCTAGAGTCTCCACATCTTTTTTACATCACGGTGACCAAAATGGGATGCAGTATTCCAAGTGTGGCTCACCAAGGCATTATAAAGTAGTATCAACATTTCACAGGATCTTGATTTTATCCCTCTGTTGATGCACCCTGGAACTGTGTTGGCTTTTTTGGCAGCTGCTGCACACGGCTGGCTCATATTTAAATGGTTGTCCACTAGGACTCAAGATTCTTCTCACAGTTACTACTATTGAGCAAGGTACCACCTATGCTGTACCTGTGCATTTCGTTTTTCTTGCCTAAATGTAGAACCTTACTTTTTGCATCATTGAATTTCATTTTGTTAGATAGCGCCCAATATTCAAAACTATCAAGATCCTGCTGAATCTTAATGATAGAACAGACCTTTGTTTCTTCAAGGTAAAGATGACACATTCATTCATGGAATGATGCTGTGGTTCCTTTCTCCTTCACTTCAGTGGCCTATCCGGCATGGCATGGTGGAAGACTGGGATCTGATGGAAAGGTTCATGGAACACATTATTTTTAAGTATCTCCGGGCTGAACCAGAAGATCACTATTTTTTAATGGTAAGACCAACGGGCAAATGATACCATACATCACGCTTAAGTATTGTTGGTAATACATTTTGACATTAATAATATAAATACATACTGTTATGGCCTGCTAGTGGCCAGCAGAGTTGGTGGCAGATTCGGACAGTGAGGAGGTTGGAGAGGAACATGGGCCAGTCCTGGAGTCTGGGGAAGGCTCTGATGAGGGCTCTTTGTCAGAGGCAGAGAGGGGGCCAGAGTTGTCTGACAGTCATCAGCTGCCTTTGGAGTCAGATATCAGTGGGGCGGAAGGACAGCTGGAGTCTGTTCCTGATGTGCGCATGCGCAGAGCTGCCAGGAGAAGGGAACAGCTAAGGAACAAGGGCTGACTCGGGAGTAAAGGCACAGGTGGACGGAGAATGGCCTCTCCCATAGGAACAAAGAGGAGCGAAAGGGGAGTTTGCAGGAGACAATTAGTTCAATTCATTAGGGTGAAGATCTGTTCTTGACTTCTTGCCAAGTAATTGCTGCTATAGCATGGCCTTTGGAAGATATCGGCCTGCAACACTCCAAGGCTGATAAGGTCTGTCGTTGTGGAATCTCATGAAAGACTGTTTTCCGGGACTTTGCAGGAGAGGAATTCCTTTCAACCTAAATAAAAGAGGTTTTATCGGGAAGAGGAGTCTGCTTCATGATCTTGGGAAGCCTAGGTCAGAAAACACACACACACACACACACAGACAGACAGACAGACAGACAGACACCATACATGCTTAATAGAAAAAAAGTGACTTGGGAAAGTCCACATCACTTTCATTTCATTTTTCATTTATACTTTATTTGTATGCCGCCCTTTTCCCTGAGGGGACTCAGGGCGGCTCACAGTTGAAGGGGAAGGGGAAGACAGAGACAGATAATGAGAAATAAATAGGTAGGTAGGTA